AAAATCACCGCACAAAAGCACATAACCATCCTCAGCCAGTTGCTCACACAGCAGGGTGAAGGCACTCCACCACTCACCACCCTGGCCGTCGTCATCGGGGCGCATGAAAGGAGGCACGTAGCAGGCAAGCAGAAACACTGGGCGATCCAGACCGAACAACTGCTGGTCCGCTCTCAGTATGACTACATTAGAAAGTGGCGTCTCTCGACGTGTGAGCAGGTGAAAGACACGCGTACTCGTGTACCACGCAACCCCGCCCGACTTGACTTGTTTGTTCGCCGAACTACTGTACAAGAGGGCACGTGGCGAAGACCAGCAAGTATAGCCAGTGAGAGCCACAGGCGGGTCATCCTCGTCCTGTTTCGTCTCAATAAAAGCGAGAAAGTCATAACGAACGCGTTTGCAACCATCCCACGTACACAAGTCATCCAGCAAGTCACCATATGCACGGAACTTCGCCGCTAAGTCCTGGATATTCAAACACAGAAACGTGAAGGCCGGCAGCGAAGAGCTGGCCGGCGTCATGGCGATCGACGCAATGCATGGTGGAATCAGCAACCCCTGCGAATTTAAGCTCGCAAACGGCGATCGCTCCACAGAGAAAACCCGTGTCTATTTGCTTTGGTGCAAGTGTTGGTGCTGCACAGACCGCTGCCATCACAACCGCCTGGCAAAATAGACTTCTGCAATGGGGAGGCCGCTGCATGCGCTTCATTCCCTCGGGGCCTTTCTCTGCCGCCTCTCACTCATCCTCCGCGCCCTTTCCCTCCTCTGCCTGGCGCATTGCAGCCGTGACCTGCCTGTTCACTGCCTACATGGCGACTTGCTCGGCGAGTGGCTCTTCCACATCGGTGAGTGGCTGGACTGTGATGGCGGCAAGGCTGACCCCTTCTGTGGCTTCTCCCTGCCCGATTCTGAGGACGCCCACGACGAGCAGACGCCGCCCATCTCCACGTCGAGCAAGTTTCATGAGAAGAGGAGAGTGACGGGGAAGCTGGAGAGAATCGACGTGAGTATGGGAGACGGAGCGGCGGGGATATGGACACCGGTATATGACGAGGGGATTCATATGGAGACACTTCTCAAGAAGGACAAGCCGCACACTCTATGGTTCGCTTCTTCAAGTATAGAACGACAACCACACAGGAACGGCAGCGGGTTGAGAACTCGTTTTGCGACACCACACTCGTGGGGTGGTGGCTGGAGCTTCCCCCTGAGCTCCTTCCTGCCTCCCCACACAAGAACGTCACCAGCAGAGACATGGCATCCGTCGCGCAGGCGACCATCAAGTCGTTCGAACACATGCAGCGACACGACATCACCAGCGGCTGCTTCTACGCTGAGAGAGTCAAGGCCGCCAAGGACAGCCCTCAGCCTCTGAGTGGCCTATCTCCTACATACGCCCGCAACGGGGGCGACAACAGCTGGAGGGATGCGCGGGGCGGCGACTGTGTGTCTCACGATGTGTCGTCATTTGTGGAGAATGGAGGAGATGTTTTTGTCTCCAGCTGGGACCAAGACGACGAGGTGAGGTGCTCTCAGAGTCACAACAAAAAGGACCCTCTGCATCTTTCGTGTCATCCATCATCTATCTATTGCTGTCCGGGCTGTCTGTCTGTCTGTCTGTCTGTCTGCAGCGCGAGAGGGTCCCGTCTGTGAGCCACGGTGGCAGGAGACACAAGAGACGCGGCAAGATCGACTCGAGGCTGAAGGCTCCCGGACAAGCAGCTTCCACCAGGAAACCATGGGATCGGAAGCACTTCAGCTGGCGCAGCAAAGCAGACGTCGAAGAGAGGGTCAGTGAGTGGACGCATGGAGGGAATACATACAAACAGACAACACCTTTGAGACAGACACAGGCTTGTTCTTCTATGCCCTCTGTCCAGACAGGCATTGCCTTCCCCGATGACGGTTGGGACCATATCAACGGTCTGGTTCCCCCTCCCCCAGACCAGCGTACGTGTGGTTCATGCTACGCTTACGCCACCACATCCATGATCACGGCAAGGTGGGCCCAGACAGCCACCTTGTGCACCAGCACCCGTGCACTGCACATCAATGCCGCTTTCATCTCTCTCGCAGGTTATGGCTTCGATACATAAACGAGAAGGAGGTGTTCAGGAGACTGAGGGCATCGCCAGAACACGTACATGAGGGACAGACAGGGAGAGACAGCGGCACCCCCATTCCACTGACTGATACGATCGATCCATGCCTTCAGGCATACAAGTGCAGCGTCTACAACCAAGGCTGCAAGGGCGGCTACCCCTTCCTCGTTGGCAAATTCACTAACGAAGTCGGCCTTAGATCTGAGCAGTGCGTCAGCGCCACCCGGGAGCAGCTCACGAGAACAAACACCACACAACTCAGCCACAGTGACGCCCTACTCGACGCGCACATGTGCAATCTCCTCGGCGGCCAGATCAGCCCCCGAGGAGCCCTGGACTGTCGCCTGCCCGAGCAGCCGCTGGTGGACCCATTGCCGGAGGAGTGTGCGTATGTGATCCACGTCTCTCAGTGGACGTATGTGGGCAGCAAGGGGGTCATGTCTATGTGCTCTGAGGAGGCCCTGAGGGAGGAGATATGGCGGGCAGGGCCGGTCACGGTGTCGATTGAGCCCGAAGGTGGGTGGGCGGAGACATCAGGTGGCACACGATACTATCAATGTGGGATGGATGGATGGCTTGTGTGTGTTGGTGTGGGTGTGGTGACAGGTGCGTTCAACGCGTATCGCGGCGGGATTCTGAATGCGACCTACCTGCCTGAGAAGAAGGCAGTGGGCAAGGACGACCTCAGCTGGCAAAAGGTAGATCGGTCAGCGGAGACACGCACAACACAGCTAGAGGCATGAAACTCATCCATCTGGTCGTCTGTCTGTCTGTCTGTCTGTCTGCAGGTGGACCACTCTGTGTTGCTGGTGGGGTGGAGTGAGGACCAACACAAAGAAGAGAAGTATTGGGTCGTCCAGAACTCATGGTCGGTCGGTCGGTCAGCACACAGACAACAGACAGACCAGGCCATGCACACAAACATTTTTCCCTTGTGTATGTCCTGAACTGAACAGGGGCAGCGTGTGGGGTGAGGACGGCTACATGCGGATACTGCGTGGGGCGGAGGAGCTGTCTGTAGAGTTCAAGGGTGTGGCTGCCGAGGTGGCGCTGTACAAGAGCGACGACCCGTCACGGCCGGCGAGGAGGGGGGGGGATGCTCGTGCCGTATGTCAGCGCATCGTAAATCAATCGACCAGGAGTGGAGTGCATCGTGAATGGGTGATGCGATCCATGGGGTGTGGTGTGTGTACGGTAGTGGTCCGTTTGCGTCTGCCTGTCAAGGCCAAGCCACGACCATTACGTCTCATCTTTGTCTGTCTGTGTGTGCGGTCCAACTCGTACCAACGTCCGTCAGTCAGGCATTGTGCAACCACAGCAGGCAAAGCAAGTCCCACCTCATGGATACAGCTTGCACAGCCGCCAGATCTCAACGAGAATATTCTCTCTCTGAATACTCCCGCCAAGATCCTGAAGCTGTTCAAGACATATCCATGAGGAAGAGACAGCTTTCTGAAGCCACCCACGCAGTCACCGAAAAAGCGGCGCGTTACGTCACGTCACAAATAAATAGTCACGATTTACATCCTTCGCCCACCCACCCACCATCCACCCACCACCCTGGGCCATGTATGCATTTCTCTATCTGAATGCCAGTCCGTGCTCAGTGTAGAAGTAGTCGGCACACTGGCGGTACAAAAGGTTCACAGCTCCCTCGTTGTCAAACACCACGTCGGCACGCCGCAGCTTCTCGTCGCGCGAACTCTGACTCCTGATCGATGAATGCCACACACACAAGACAAGACAGCACAGCACCAGACACCACACACATTGCCCAACAACCAAACCAGCCCTCTCCCCTCCCCTCCCATCCCATCTTCTGACCTGATCTGCCTCTCGACCCTCTCGGGCGGCGTGTGGACTCTCTCCATGACGCGTCTGGCCTGGGTGCCCTCGGTGACATCCACCAGTAGGATGGGGCTGCACAGCCAGTGCATGCCCGTCTCGAACAGCAGGGGGGCTTCGATGGCCACCCACCGGTGGAACCGCAGGAGGCGGGCCGTGATGAGCTTGAACATGAGGCGGTTGGTGATGAAGGGGTGGGTGATGGCGCTGAGCTTCTTGCGCACTGCGTCGCCACGGTTGGGGTCGGAACTCCACGCCAAAGCAGCCATCTTCTCGCGGTCGATGTCACCTGGACATCACACGAACAGGGAGACCGACTTGGGCGTCTGTCTGTGTGTGTTGTGTGTGTTAGGTATGTGCCCACCGCCCCGCACATACCTGATTCGGTGAGTATGGAGCGTCCGAATGCCTTGACGAGGGCACGGTGGGCGGGGTGGTTCTTGACGAGTATCTCTCTGCTGATCTGGTCGCAATCGAGGACGATGAACCCATTGTCACGCATGAACTTGCCTGCACAACCACACACCACAACCACACACACAGCCACACTGCCAGCCATGCTCATTCATCCATCCACCTTGGTCAGTCAGTCACCCAACCAACCATCCCTCTCTCTCTCCCTCACCGAGTGTGCTTTTGCCGCTGCCAATGCCTCCCGTGATTCCGAACACGCACAGCCTGGAGCCGATGATGTGCAGCACCAGGCCCCATAGGCCGTATGCGGGGCTCACAAGGGCGCTGAAGATCTCCCCCCCCACGGCGATGCTCAGGATGCCAAAGTATGCTGTCGGCGACTTCAGCAAGCCCTTCTTACGGAACGCTGTCTTTCGTCTGAGGAGACCCAGTGGAAGCTGGCACAGAGCGAAGAGTCCAGCGAACACGGCTGGCAGGATGGACGAGTTGCGCACAGGAAGAGCCATGTTTAGATGAGATCCCACCCTCCTTCCCAGCAAAGCTACTAAGCTCGCAAATGCGTGTGGAGATCTTTTCAGAAAAAACGCATTGATTCGTCACCAGTACCTTGCTTGTGAGGGAGGAGGTGCGGCAGGGGGAAGATCTCATCTCGTTTCGAGTGTTTGGATCTTCGCCGAGGTCGCATCGACAGGAGGAGACGGTTCGAGAGGCCCGGAGGGCGCCGGGCGCCTCCCGACGACAGCATGAGAGGTGTGGAGCGGTTCCTTATGCGCAGCGGCCTTCGCAATCATCTATCTATCTCATTCGTCTGTGTGTGGTGATCTTACAGGATACAGCGTTCTCTTCGTCGGCAACTCAACCAGAGGTCAGCACAGCACAGCACAGCACAGCACTCAGCAACAGCGCACAGCGATGCCAGTGTGTTCAGTGAGCGGTTGGCATTTGCCGGCTGACGCGACGCGTGTGGTGTGTGATTCATTCATTCATTCAGATGGCCACACTGAGTATCAGCTGAAGGTGGTGGACCCCGAGAACACCAGCTGGTTCACACAGAAGCGGTACCGGGAGATCCGGGAGCTGCACGACCAGCTCAAACTCAGATTCCCACAAGAACTACAATGGGTAAGGAAGGGAACCAGCCAGTCGACACACACACACGCGAGAAATCAGACAGACAAAATTGCGTGTGTGGGTGTGGCCGGTTCGGTGTGTGCGCAGTTTCCCCCGAAGCGGTTGTTCAACAACATGGACAGCGCGTTCATCAACGAGCGTCAGCACCAGCTGCAGCTCTACCTCAACAAGGTCCTGCAGCTAGACCCAACGTGCTCGGTTAAAGTCCTCAGGAAGTTCCTGGAAATCAAACCCAAACCAGGTTACTAAATGCACTTCACGGGCGCCCTGACACACCCATGCATGGTTTCCTTCGGTTGTGCAGAGCCCGGTCGTTTAGCGTATGGCATCGAGTCTGCCACGGCCCACCAGCTGCTGCTGGACCGTGCGTCAGGTCAGTTCCTGGACCTGTCGCAGACGCCCCAGCCCTTGGACGCCACCGAGGCTGAGCAGAAGGCCTCCAACTACAGCCAGGTCTTCTCACGGATGTCACAGCTGTCGGTCGGCCCGCACAACACACTGCCCTTCCAGCCACAGTTCAAGCAGGCCAACTTCAGCGCTGAACAGGTGGGTATGGTGTGCTGTGCTGTCGATGGTGATGCTGATTGATCAATCGGTGGATTGGCTTGCGGGGCGCTGTGCTTTGTTTGTCATTCAGATGGAGGAGCAGATATCGAAGCCCTCGCTGGCGCAGACAGGTAGGCGCAGTTAGGAGATCAAGATCTCGAGCGCGGCGGGTGGGGCGGGCGGCACTGCATCTGTCTGTCTGTCTGTGTTTGTGTTCAGACGGCCGTGTGGTGAGTGATGCGTTGGATGAGCTGTGCGTCATACTGTCGACCAACAGGAGGATAGAGGTCGGTAAACAAACACACACACACACTGCGGTCGATGGGCATTCCGATTGATCCCCTCTGTATGTATGTCATCTATCTGTGTCCTATAGGGGCTGGACGACATCATTGTGCCCTTCCCACCGATCGTTGTCCCCCTCAGCTCGGCAAGCTGACGCACACATGACATGCATCGTTGGTTGCAAGAGAGAGAAGTTTTGACGACGCACGGTACGGTGAGTACTCACTGCACTGGCTGACATGTGGCTGTAAAGATGGTGATGTAGGTAGCGTAGAGAGAGAGAGACGGGCCTGCCTGCCTGCCTGCCTGTGTTTTTTGGTCACACACATTACATTCATGACCGTGCATGTGTGCCGATGATCGCTGCAGAGAGTGGTAGGGGGAGGGAGGGATGGGTGGATGGATGGATGGATGGATGGCGAGCACTGGGTGGTACCTACCTACCTGGGCACACAGCCAGAGTGCCGCGAACCCACGGGTGTGGTGTTGGTGGTGTTTCAAGCCAACACATGGATGGCGTGATGGGATGGATGGCGTGATGTGATTTGATGACGATGCACGATGCACGATCTACGCAGACAGACCCATTCATTCATGGAAAGCTTCAATGGACTCACTCAGACGCCGTCATCACATGCATGTCATGTCCGTCCACCCATCCATCCATCGGTCTGTCTGTCTGCACCAGGCAGGCACCAGAGCGTGATACTCAGCGCCACCGACACACACACACACACACATCCATCCCATCGAGCGTGGTTGAGCTTAGCTTGGTACGGGTCAGTCAGTCAGGGAAAGCAGGCAGGCTTTGGCAGCCTCCTTCCCTCCATCCCTACTCGATCAAGCTCCCCTCCCACATGTCAGTCAATCAAACTCCCATACAAACAAATACTCACGGTCATGTCACGCCCAACACATGCACTCAATGCACAAATCACTTACTCGTCTGGTCTCGTCCGCATGATGTGATAAAAGCACTCCATCACGCCACACACATCAACGTATTAACGAATTGGATGGGCACGTGTCTATCGTATGGAAGAGATGAAAGAAAGTAACACCACTGCTAGCTAGGCCTTGGCCTCCGCCGTTTTGCCCGTCGGCTCCTCCTGCATCGTGTCAAAGCTCTCACTGCTCGCCGCTCTCCCGCTGCTGCTGGACGGTGTCTCTTCTGACGGAGGGGGTGGGTCAGATGTCGCAGCCCGGTCCTCTGGTGCATCCGTCGGTGGCGGCTGGTTGACGCCAGGGGATGACGACGAGTAATACGCATAGCTGGCCGTCACCTGCATGGGAGGACGGATGATGGAATTGAATGCTGTCAGCCCTGACAGCCTCCTTGGCTGTCTGTCTTGTCTGGCTGACCGACCTGTAAGAGGTTGTTGAGTCTGTCGAGCATGGTTTTGGGTTCGTCTAGGATGCCCGCAGCGATGCACGCGTTGTCGTACAGCTGCTCCGTCAACATCTGCAGGATACATAGCAGATACATACGCCACAGACAATACTCATGGCTTCACGCTTGTGGCCATCCATCGCTGCGTGCGGTGGGGTGGCTGTCTTGCCTGTGCAATGTCAGGTTGTGATGTCTGCAGGTGGTAGAGGGAGGTGGTGAGCTCGTGGCCAGGGTTCAACTCCAATGTCACCGGCAGATTGGCCAGATCTGCTTATCGTCGATAAATAAATATGACACACAGAGAACAGAGAGGCACACGGCAGTTCCATTCCACGCGGCTCTTGTAGTGTCGGTTTGGGTGTGTGTGCGTGTTACTTGAGGGTCCTTCCTCGCTGCCCTTCATCATGCTCTTCATCATCTTCCTGCACACACACACACACGAATCCACAGCAAACCACCAGGTGGTGTCAACTATCCTGAGTGTGTATGTGACCTCATGGTAGATGAGAGGAATCCCGTGACGACGGCGGGGCTCTTGGTCAGCCGAGAGGAGAACTTGATGGCCGTCACACGGTTCCCCAACACACCCTGATATATGCACCATGACACGGCCAGCACACAGAACAATCCGTTTTGAGTGTCGTGTCTGCTGGCTCGAGATGCTTGCGGTTCACACAAGTGTACCTTGATGTAGCCCTCGAGTTGGCTCTGCTGCTCCGAAGACAACGCCGGCCTCTCCACCTGTCAGTCGCGTCGCGCGCACACACGAAGCAAAGCACCCGTCCGTCCGTCAGGTTGCTAAGTGACGAGGGTGAGTGGTGTATGAGTGAGTCCATTCATTTGCATGCATACGTCTTTCTTGTCCTCAGCCTTGGTCTCTTCGTCGGCCTCTGCTTCTTGCTCCTCCTCGAGTAGTGGCTCGAAGTCATCCTCGGGGCTGTCCACCGCAACCAGCTTCTTGCCATCGTAGTTCTGATATGATGGCAAAGAGAGCGACACATACACCACAAGGGGTCGCTTGGTGGACACGGGGCTCTGGCCAACCTAACCTACCTGCAGGTTCATGGCGACGAACTCATCAATCTCGTCATACATCAGGAGCACATTCCTGCAGGGAAGGGAAGACATTCACATGGGTGACATGGGTGGGTGTACAGGGCAGGCCCTCCCTGGTGTGGCTTCTCCCTCCCCCCTCCCTCCCACCTACCCACCTGTCTTTCTGGAGGAACTGCTCCATGTACGGTGAGGCCAGTGCGGTCTGCCGGTTGGTCGCACACATGTAGTAGATGTTCTCCTGCTTGGCCTTCATCGACTTGACGTACCTGCAGGGAGGGAGGACACACAAACCACACACAAACCACACACGCGTCGCGGGGGACACACAGACACGTCACGCACACATGACGGACGGCACCATAGCTACCACCATCATGATATATGCTGTTTGGTTGCCCACCCACTCACTCTTCGAGTGAAATGTATTCCTTGGGAGGCTTCTGCGAGCACTCGTATCGCAGCAGCTTGACGAGTTGGTTCTTGTGTGCGCCGCCTGTGCCGCCGGTGGAAGTCTCCTGCTGGCCCATGTCCTCGAGCAGCCCCTCCTTGAGGTAGCTGCTGAACTTGTGGTAGAACTGAAGGAACTTCTTGCCGTCTCTCTGGGACTGTCAGATACACAATAAGAAGGAACCGATGCAACGACGAGACACGACCCACGTGTTGGCGGGGATGATAGGTAGATAGCTCCCTCACCTCTTCGTCGAAGAATTTGAGTATCCGCCTAACGACGGCATAGCTGAGCTTCTCCATCAGCCGAGTGTCCTGCATGTTTTCCCTGCTGATGTTCAGGGGGAGGTCCTCGCAGTCGATGACCCCCCGGATGAACCCCAGCCACCGAGGAATCACCCTCGACGCCGACTTCTGAACCAACACGCGCCTGATCAGCCAGCCACGCACAGACAGACACCAACACATACAATAGAATGCGCCGGCGCAGCCGTGTGTGTATGTTTCCCACCCACCCACCCCGCCCCGCCCCGGCCACCTTGAGTGCAGGGCGACGCTGACTTCTCTGTCAGTCTGCTTCTGGAAGATCCGCACGGGTGCGTCCTCGGGAATGTAAAACAGCGACTGAGTCAGCCAGCCACAGAGAGGGAGGCCACACAGACAGAGGCAGGCCCGCCCTGTGTTGTCTGTCGATTGTCTTGTCTGTGTGGCACAGCACACGCTGTCTTGTCTGTCTTACTCACCTTGATGGACAGCGGGGCGTCGGTGTTGAACCTCAGTGTATAGAGGGGCTCACCATACGTCGTGTTGCCCAGAAACCTGACAGACATTAGCGATCGACCATGCCATGGACCAGCAAGGAGTGCAGCCCGTTGTGCCCGTTGTGTGCGTGTGTGAATGCCCACGTACCTCAAGAACTCCTTGTGCTCTTCCTCCGATACGCTGGACTTGAGCCACAAGGCCTCCTGTGGGTTCAGCCTCGTCTCGTCAGTCCCTTCCTTCAGGTACAGCGGGAAGCTGCACAAATGAGTAAGGCACACACATGAGCACACAGTATCTGCCCTACCCCCCATCCATCACATGTGCCTGCTGTGGCTCCCTCCCTCCCTGCCCACCTGATGAAGCTGGAGAAATGTTCGGCCTTGGTTTTGCAGTTCTGGGGGTTGGCGAACTCCAGGCAGTCGGGCTTCAGGTGACACACAATGCGGCTGCCGCGGGCAGGCGCCTCATCCAGGGGGCACTCACTGACCACACCAACACAACCAGCACACAAACCGGATGGATGGATGCCGTGCCTGGGAGGAGGAAGGACCACGTGTGTGCCGACTGACCGTATGTTGAAGGAGCCCAGGCCGTCCGAGGTCCAGTGCCACGCAGATGCGCCCTTGTCGGCATCAAAGTGACGGGTGAAGACCTCCACCTTGTCCGACACGATGAATGACGAGTAGAAGCCCACCCCGAACTGACCGATGAGGGCCTGGGCCCGCTCACTCTCGCCCCCACTGGCAGCCTTGTTGGCCTCCTCGATGAACTTGCGGGAGCCCGACTTGGCGATGGTGCCGAGGTTGTCGATGCAGTCCTCCCTCGTCATGCCCACACCGCTGTCCTGCAGACGCAGACAGATGGGCCGAGAGGATGGGATGGGCTGCTTCGTGTGTGTGGAGTGGAGAGTCTGCCGTCTGACTGACCTCGATGGTGAACGTTTTTGCGGCAGGGTCTGCCGATATGACGATCCTCAGGGCACCCTCCTCCTCAGGCACCGATGGGGCTGCACACGGTGGTCGGTGCGAGTCGAGTCGTGTTGCCAGCCAGTATCTATCCATTCGTTGGAGCCTTGCAAGCTTACCTTGCCCCGAGACCTGTAGGAATCTGAGTTTCTCCAGCGCATCACTGGCATTCGATATCAACTCACGGATGAACACCTGAGCGATGGATGCCATGCCGACCACACACACACACACACACACACAAACACGCAAACACACTGCCTGTCCAGCTCAGCTCAGCTCGTTGCAGCCCCTCCCTTCCCATCCGGACTTCTTTGTCGGTGTAGAGAGAGTGTGTGACGATGTGCAGCAGCTTCTGCGTCTCAGCGCGGAACTCCATCGTCTCCCCGCCCTCCCCCTCACCCGCAGATGTGCTGAGAAACCGACAGGAGTGGCGCAACGCACAGCTGGTGGGGAGGGGGGCACCGGGCGCTGAGCGGTCAATGCCATGGAGTGTGCTTGGCAGTGCTGCGAAATGCCGTGATGCAGCGATCTGTTGTGCTGCCAGGAAGCCTCGAACGACACTGCCGGAGGCTGAGGGAACACGCACCCTGAAGATACACAGACAGACAGACAGACAGGCAAAGCAGCAGATAAAGAGGTGGGATTGATAGATCTGTGCGTGCGTTCTGTTGAGGCATGCAGAGGCCGCTTCTGCCTGCCTCGGTGGCCTGGCGTACCTGAGAGAGCTGCGGATCATTGCCTTGCAATGAGTGCGATCGAATGGCGCCTTCTTGTGAGATCCTTGTGCTTTGCAGCAGGGCCCTTAGCGCCGCGGGGGGGGAGTGAAAGAAGACGCGTTCTTGGCAAATGGTTCCTTCCTGCGAGCTAAGCTCGCAATCTGGGGAGGCTGGCGATTTGATCCTTCTGAGGACAGCTGAGGACGGTAGGATATCAGACAGAGCGTGTTCGAGGCGTGTGCGTCGCGCTTTTACCCAGAGGTGGCCGTTCAATGCGCCGACTTGATCGTTCTACGCTGAGTTCCACCCAAGGATCCCATGGATGAGACGGAGGCAAGATGAACCACACCGCGGCCTTCCAGAGCAGCCATTACATGCACGGAAATGGCTCAAAGATCACGATGCAACCTCTCGCCGCACAAGTGGATGCGTACGTCAAGGGCCTGCCTCGAGAGGAGACCATGTCTTACGAGCGGCTGTGGGTGGCTGCCGGCTGTCCGATGGCCAACAATCGGCTGGAGGGCCGCGCCGCATTCGAGTTCCTGACCAAGAGCGGCCTCTCGCGTGAAGTGCTGCGGGGCGTGTGGGAGCTGGCTGACGTGCAGAAGAGGCATGCACTCATGTGGAATGAATTCGTCCTGGCCATGAGGATCATCGCAGCCCACCAGCACGGCACCAAGGTCAGACAGAGGGCGACGGACGCAGCCAGCACCTTCTTATATAATGGGATCGATCACTTCGTTTCGGCTGGCTCGCTGTGTGGCTGGGAGTGTGTGTCAGGTGTCATCTGTGGAGGAGCTCCTTGCCATGCGCCACCCTCCCGTGCCCTTCTCCTTCATCCCGCGGTTCCAGGGCGTCTCCCTGCCGTCCCCACCACCACTTGTGCCCGAGCAAGCCCCCTCACGACTCGACGTGCAAGCAGCGCCAGCGGTCATCCGGCCCACGCCTGGCGGTGGCGGTGTGGCGGTGAAGGCTGCTAGTGCGATGGATGACTTGCTGTCGTTTGACGAAGGGCCGGCCGTCACTGCGGCGGCTGTTCCCATGCCCTCTGCCCCCGAGGCGGCGACAAGTGGTGAGAGGGTCGACAAGAAAGCAGCAGAGGCGGAGATGCCTGTGAGTGACACCAGAGAGACGGCGCAGAAGCGCAAGGAAGACATGGTGGCGGAGCTCATGAGCAAAGCGGTGAGTGAGTGAGGGACAGAATCAGAGTCAGTCAGGAAACCTACGGCCTAAAGGATTGACGACCACAGCCGTTCTTCGTGAGTGACTGGGGCGCCTTTCTCTCTGCTCTCAGATGACGTCGTGGCGTGACGAGTACGACAAAAGGCGGACACCACTCTCGCAGCTCGCTGGCTCCAAGGGCGACTTGCTGGGCAGCGGGTCCCCAAAAGCCACCAGCAACGGCAAGTCGCTGCCGAGCATCCCCCCTCCCGCAGCCAGTGAGGCCAAGACAGCGTCTGACTGGGCCGCATTTGACGAGGGTGACGCCCTCTTCACCTCACACGATCCCTTTGGAAAGGCGTCAGCTGAGGCACAGGGCAGAGGGGACAGGTGGGCCAAGATGGCGGCATTTGACGAGCTTCTCGAGCCAGCACCACAGCCAGCAGTGGCAGCCCCACCTCAGATTGCTGACAGCGGCGGCTGGGCGGCCTTCGATGCAACACCACAACAGCAGGAGGCACCTGGGGCCCCGCCGGCCGCTGGTGCTGGCGCTGCTACTGACGAATGGGCCGAGTTCGGCGACTTTTCATCTTCTCCATCCGTCCCGCCCCTGGCTGAGAGAGACGTTGCCAAGCCCATGCCTCCCCCACCCCCTCCCCCACCCCCTCCACCAGAGGCAAGGCCATCTCGGCCTTCACCTCCCCCGCCACCACCGCTACCAGTACCAGCTGCCCCACCCGTCTCTGCCTCTCAAGCCCCCAAAGAGAAGCCCTCGTCTCCCCGGCCATTGAGTGAATTGTCCATATCGGCCGACACCGTCGCCGCCTCGAGCAATTCTCAGCTGCCCGCATCCGACGACCCCTTCAAGTCTATCGCAATGGAGGAAAGTGGCGGCACCAAGGGCGGCGGGTCCCTCGACAGCGCCGAGTGGGGCTTCGCTTCGCCTGGTGCGGCAGCTGGGCGGCTGCCCGACTTCTCGGGTGCCGACAGCTGGGCTGCCACAAAGGACAAGAGGGACGAGGAGGAGATGCTTCCCTTCCCATCGACAGCAGGAGCACTAGCTATCCCGCCTCCAGCAGACCAGTTCTTCGCTGACTTCGACGACGGCCCCAAGACGTCAGAAGGCGCCCTTCCCCCTTCCAGTGGCATGCTCATGGACGACGTGTGGAAAGATCTGGGCGGATCTGACAAGCGGACCCCGTCGCCTCAGCCCTCCGATGGGGGCGACAGCGGCAGCCCATCCGGCAGCCCCCCACGATACGACGTCAAACCGAGCGACATCGCGCATTCGTCTGGAGGGACGGACGCCATCTTTCCCGATCCATTTGAGGCTCTGGGGAACGGCCACAGGCCAAGCGATGAGGCAGCCGACGCAGTCCGTTTGAGCGCCACTCCCACCCTTGACACAACAGCTCTCAAGATCGACCCGGTGCTGCCGCCGACCATCTCTCTCACCGCCCCTGCTGCCGCTGCCGAGTCATGGGATGCCTTCGACGACTTGATCCACCCGCACCCCCCCTCCGCCCCCCTCTCGCCCCCCCAGGATCAGCACATGGCTCATCCAGCGCGTGAAGGCGACGTGGCCCCCAGCATCAGGGCCGATGACATGCCAGGTCTGGTCAAGTGGTGGGGTGTGGCAGAGGCGCTGCTACTCAAGGTGCTCAGGACAGGGGGGCTGTCGCAGGAGGGGGGAGAGGAGGGGGAGGGGGCAGGCTGCGTGCCCCTCGGCGTCATGCGAGAGTTCGACCGCACGGTGCCGATGCTCGAGGCCCACCACAGTGAGTCCCATCGCAGGACAGACAAGCCGCCCCAGCTTCCAGCCCCCTCTGTCCGCCACAGACACGAGGTCACCGCAGCCATGGCGTCCTACGCCGAGAGAGTCGAACACGCCAGGAGCCGCAGAAGCGTCAGGCGGGCATCGGCATCAGCAGGGGGTGACGACGCCACGGCAAGCAGCCCCGACGTGTTGGGTGTCGGCCACAGTTTGGGGCTGGCCTTTCTGCACGAGCAACTGGATAAGCCGCTGGTCAAGCAGCTGGGGCGAGTGGGTGAGTCGCTGCGCAGTCTGCACCGAGAGTCCGAGAGGAAGAGGGAGGAGAGGGAGAAGGGGAGACAGGACGGCAGGAGGCTGCCCAGGGTGAGTGACGCGCAGCAGCTGCTGCACGAGAGACTCGCAGAGCTGGCAAGGCTGTACAAGGCGGCAAGGTCAGTAGGTGACCACACACACACACACACACACAGACGCCTGCACATGCACGCAGTCAGTCACACTGTGTCTGTCTTCTGGGTTAAACAGGGTGTGGGTTGGCGTCATCACCTCTCTCCAGCTCCTGGATGAGTTCGATGCCCACGAGGGGCCGAGGTCGTCGAGGGAATTTGCAGACCCCTTCGCATCAGCCACACCTGCGCCTACATCCACCACCACGGCTGGCCGAGCCTCTGATCCATGCCTTGCCGCACTGCGGACGACCCTCCGAGCAGCCACCGAGCTCAAAAGACTCCTGAGAGACATACAGAACCAGGTATGGTGCATAGAGCACATGGACAGACAAGAGCCGATGGCTGCTCTTTGCCTCAATTCAGGTTGCGTGTTCGAGCCAGCTGGCCGTCGACCCCCACCGCAAGGCCCCTCCTGCCGCCGAGAAGCCCATCGATCTGAGCGATCCATCCGACCAACGAGAGCTCGCCCGCAACGCCGGTTTCCAGAACTTGATCCGTGGCTGCGCTACGCTTTATCGGCTGCTATGGCGCCTCAACGTCGTGGCTTCGCCATTCCTGTTCCCTCCAGCCACCGACCTGCAGCGACTCGCCCACATAAGGCGACACGTCTTCAGGGAGGGGGCGGCTGCGACGGGGAGCGGGCCATCGCCCCTGCATCTCTCGGCTGGTGGGCGGAAGGAGTGGGTGGATGTGTCTGAGCGGGTCAGCGCGGCGCTGGAAGAGGCGGCCGAGATGTGGAACAGCCTGCTGAGTCAGCTCAAGCCCTTCTTCGACCCCAAACAACAGCCGTGTGGGAGTGATTCGGGCGTCGCGACCACATCTAAGGAGAGGAGGGAGGGGGCGAGGATGTGTGTGGTGCTGGGAAGGGCCTCGTTCCCTGGGCAGGGCTTCGAGTCGATCGACAGTCTGTTCCCCAAATGGTCGTCTGGAGCTGTGGTGACGTCAACGTCGGCCACGTCTGATGCCGCATGCCCCTTCTCTGTGACCTTCTGGGAGACATTGTCTGAGAGCGAAGAGCAGCTCCCCGAACAACCGAGCAGGACCCTCTGTTCGCTGTGTTGCCTGAGGGCAGCCTCCCCCTCGTCGGTGTCGCCTGTTGCCTCATCGAGTGGGGGTGTGGGTGTTGGTGATGTGGGCACCAGTCGGCAGGTGACGCTGTCGCATCCCTTTGATGAGGTCAGCCTGGGCGTGGAGCCGCCTGCGTCGGCCGTGTGGATGGGCCACCTGTTCCACACCGCCTGCATCAACTTCTGGATGTCTCATGTGGACGTGGGAGGCGCTGCAGCCCTGCCAGATGTGCCGCTGCACCGATAGGCAGACAACGGGATCGATCTGCGTCTGTTGGCTGGCTGATATGATGGCTGGGTGGCTGGCTGGCTGGCTGGCTGATCGATGGTTGGTTGATAGGGCGCAAGCTTGACGAACGAATGAATGAATGGCCATGCTGGCTGGGAGAGCGGTCATCTTGCAGCCCACCGATGTGATCACTGTGCGTGGGAGCGTGCGTGTGTGTGGATGCATCGACCTCTGTGTAGTGTGTGACGGATGGATGTGTGCAGCACGCACATTTCGTTTCTTGTGCCTTGCAATCCATGCATGACGTGAATTCATGGCAAGTCGCTAAGTCAAGCTGCAGTGTAACATACACATGCACTCGCAAGGATGACCCATCGGCACTCAACACGTCAGCACACCACGGCAACACTGTCTTTTTCACCTAACGTCATGGATGTCCGGCGTCTCCCGCAACAGACGCACTTCTCTGTAAGAACCGGCATGAACTATTCTCCCCTCCCTCCCTGACCAGCTCGTCCCTCGTCATGGTGCTCGGAGCCTCTCTTCATCTACACCCTTTCTACACAACTGCAGCCATGCGCTGGCGGGTGGGCAGCCTGGCTGACTGGCTCACGGCCTCTTTGACATGGTGTCACCACATGCACATTCTCCCCAGGCACCCCCACTGTAACCATCACAACCGATTCTACCTGCCTAAGCTTCCCATCCCTCCCCTCCCGTCTCTGCTAAGTCGTCATGGCGCCAGTGGTCGGCTAGTTGATGCCGAGTGGCTTGAAGAGGCCGATGTCGTTGACCCACCCCAACTGACCCCAACCGAACTGACAGTCGTCATTCCCCAGGTGGGTGTTGAAGCCCTTGACCACACCAGTCAGCCCATAGCGGGCCGCCTCGACCAGCCGCGCCCGATGCACCACCTCGCGCAGACCCACCCGCCGCACACGAGGCCCCTCTCTGACGGCGAAGCACTGGAGGGGCACCCGCACCACCCGGCCGCCCACATTGGCCATGCCGCCGATGACCTCCTCATTGCCGGCCGTCTTGGTCGCCGCGCACTTGACGAAGTGCTGCATGGCCCTCTTGATGCGGTGGGCCACCACTGGCTGCCCGAGGGTGATGGTGTCGACGGCCTCTGGCTCGTGCAGGAAGGCACCGATCTTCCAGGCCACCTGGGCCGTCGCATCCGTGAGGGCAAATGGGGAGGGGGCAGCAGGGGCATGTGCTGCAGCAGCAGTGGATGTGTCAGTGGGGGTGGTGGGCGGGGCGGGGCGGGCGAGGGGCAGCAGCCACGTCAGCATGTTGGCGGCGTCACGCTGTGGGCAAAGGGCGCCGTTGACGCCGTCCATGACGGCCTGGGGCAGCTCGTCGTTGAGGACGGTGAGGTACTCGGCCAACACCACACCGTGGGCCTCTCGTGACTCCTGGCGAGCATTGGCCGGCAGCTGTTGTGGGGTTTGGACCATGTCGATGGCAGCCCCGATGTCAGCAGTGCGCGGATGGCCCGCTGCATCCCGCTGACCGTCTCATCACGCTGCTCGGACCGGGCCTGACGCTGCCAGACGGCGACCTTGATGGCAGCGATGCCCAAAGGCGTCTGGTGGGCGCCGAAAGGCCAGTGAGCTGTAGCTGTGTTGATGTGTGCGGGGCTGAGGTGCTGGCACAGCCACTCGATCACGTGATACGGAGACGTGACTGCTGCTCGCTGAAGGGGCTGAAACATCGGCTGCTGCTGTGGGGCCGTGAGGCTGGCGCCGTTGTCCATCATTAGCTGGAGGTAGCCGTGGATGAAGGCTCGCGAATATACGCGGCCCACACTGGCTGCACGAAGGATAACACTCCAGTCACCATCTGCCGCTGCCTCGGTGGCGAGGCAGGGGTTGAGCTTGACGAGGTGCTTGTAGATGGCCATCAGGGCCGCCTCATACTGCTCAGTCACGCGCACCCCACCTGGCAGTAAAGCCACCTGCCGCCCTTGCAGAGCCGCTCCGTTGGCCACGAGGGTCTTGAGCGCCGTCAGGTTGGCCGCACGCACCGCCACTCTGATGGGCTTGGGCTTGAGCCAGTCCGTGGAGATCCGCGCAGCAGGTGCTGGTGACGTGGGTGGCTCATTGAGCCCGACGCCCTCCTGGATGAGAGCCGACAGGACGCCCGTTTGCGTCTCACGCGATGGCCAGAGCGGCAGCACCAGCCGTCCACCGATCGCGAGCCACACCGCGGCGCATTCGAGCGCCGTGGGAGTGCTCCAGTCGTCGATGGCCAGCGTCAGCAGACAGACACGCCGCCGATACGCGGCATCACTCCGCGAGGTGATGAGGTCAATGCAGACCCGTGGGTCGGCCCCCTTGCGGACGAGCTGTCGGATGCCGTCAGGTGTGATTGTGCGTCGCATGATGCCCTGGACGAGCCGCTTGGTGGCATTGCTGGTGTTGGGCGGGAACAGTGCCTCCACCTTCTCTATCTTCACCTCCTGCTGCTGCGGCTGCGGGTGTGGCTGCTGTGGTTGCTGTCCGGCTGATGATGAAGCCGACATGATGATCAAATCCTGCACACAGCAGAACCACGCACAACGCTCAGACTTGGTTTAAGGTGTTGTGCTGCGCTGCTGTACCGCAGAATTGGGCACTGACGAATGGCTCCTCAGATGCCGTCACCCTGAGCCGAGTCAGTCACCCCAGTGAGGTGAGCTGCACACAAGCAGCTCGAGATGTTCGGCAGCCCTCGGTCGCTTCCTTTGCGGCCCTGCGTACCTGATCGATCTACTGTGAGAGCTCGGTGCTTACTTCTCCTCGGAGCGCCACGAACGGCAACAATGCTGCCTGCAGGAAAACACAGAGGTAGATGCATACCATGGCCAGATCTGCATCTTAATCTCTTTCCCTACCAGAGATCTACGGTAGTGTAGGTTTCCGCCCTCCCCTCCCATGTCCGTGTTGCAGGTTAGGGTGCTCTGTGAAACCGCTACCCTTTCTCTTTTCTTGAGGTCAAGCTCGCAATCGCTGTGCGTACGCGGTTTCTTCTCCCCTTCCTCCTCTCCTCTCCCGAGCACGAGTGCGTCATCTGTTCCATATCGGTGCGTTTTCTCAGCCGTTTTCCAGCCTGGTGGGCACAGGCCAGGTCACGCACAGGCCAGGAACCAGACAGAGAGGGGGGGGGGGGGGGGGGGGGGG